CGCCAGAAAGGGGGGGGGGATGGCCCTTCTCCCTTCACCAGGCTGTACGCGATAAGTCGATTGAGTCGCTGCTCGACAAAGCGGTTATAGTGAGGAAACTGGGACATTGAGAATATTTCAATCGATCGGGCAAATTATTTTTAGCTCCTTAAAAAAGGTAAAGGATTTTTCTAAATACCTTCGAGATTTTCTACTTCACTAGAAAAAAATTCTCCTTGATCCAGAGTCCAGACTCTTAAAAAATTTGACAAGAAAAAATACTTGAACCCAATTGGATTGATGCTTGAAACGAGAGTCAAGCTACTTAATTTAGGAGGATTTTCTTTTGATTCAAGCAAAAATCCGATTGAATTAAGAACTTTTAAAATTCTTGTCAAATTTCTTAGAGTCTGGACTCTGGATCCAAGAGAATTTTTCTCCAGTGTTGTAATCTTCATAATGTTATTAAAATGTGAAATTTTTGGCGAAAAAAGCTCAGACTTGCTCTTGTCAGTCCTGAGGCACCTCGGTCTTTAGAAATTCTTGAGAAGGTATTCTGCCCCCCCCCCCCCCCNCGGAACAGGGGGGGCGTCTCTAAAAATTCCTAATAACGTGTCTTTTGGAAATTTGAGACATTTTTTTTTAAGGAAGAGAAAGCGTGTTTCATTACTCTCGCGATTACACCTGAAAATGCCAGAGGCTGTGATCTTGACCTGTTATTCCAGCAATTTTTGCCGGTGTTTCGAGCGTCTTGGCAAACTTAATAATTTTGTTCGCGGAGTGAGCCACTTTTATCTCCCTTCCCGACGATTGATGTGACGAATTCAGCTTAATTCAGCTTCGTGGTACACTTAAAAATTAGATAGTCGTGTTTATATTAGACACGTGCACGATTTTTTCCTCGCTCTCCTGTTGTAAACCGCTTGCGGGCTGATTGTTGAAATTTATAGACAAAATAATAGAGAAAGAAGACAAAAGAGATATGGAGGGATCCTACCCAAGTAGCAAAATAGAATTTTTTTCTAGAAAAAACATATTAAGAATATTGCTAGAAAAAACAAAGAAAATGAAAGTTATCCAGAAAATAGAAAGGAAAAACATTGCGAGTCAAAAGTCTGACCAAAGAAAATAGATCTATTTCATAGGTCTACTTTCTGTCAACTTCTCATTTGGAAAAAAGAGAGAAAATTTATTGAAAGTAGAATTATTTTCTAGCCAATTTCTTAATGTTATCTTCTAAGAAAATGCAAGGAAAAAATGTATTTACTTTCTATTTTCTGGTGTCTATTTTCTAGATCTACTTTATACCTATTTTCTTTCAAGAAAATTGTTCTATCTCTAGTAGACTTTTTCTTGATGAGCGCCACCTAGAAAGTAGCTGACAATGCTACTTGGGTATTGGTGGAAGCGGGTGGTTGCAATGGACATATCGACGGTGAAACTACCAAACCACGTATCTCGGTTTGCGACGTCGCAGACTTTCTGTCATACTTTATTTTTTAAATGAAAAACTACTCAACGTCCAGTCTTGAAAATTTCTCTGATTTTTCCTCTTCGCGCGGAGAAAATTCTGTGAAAATTTCCAGGAATGATATTGATTTGGTCTACTTCAAGGAAATAAAATGCGAGCGTAGATTTTTAAACACCGCAAACGAGATACGTGGTTTGGTAGTTTCACCGTCGATATGAAGTAGGTAATAGACTAACAACCTCAGCTTTAACAAATAATTTCTCTGTAAAAAAATAAAATGCCGGCAAATTTTTAAACGTCGCATGGCGCTTGTGATACTTCGGCCGAAGGTGACTAGATCTGGTGAATCCAGCCGTGGATCTCACCGTTTCGTTTATTATGCCTGGTACCTATAATGTGTAACTACACCGCAAATAAGTTCGTTCATAAGAAGCGTCACCTATTTGCACTTTTAGGAAAGCCCGCAGGAGAGAATCTTTCGCCCAGTTCGGAGACAGCTCCTTATCATTAATCATTTTCTCGTCCTTCCTTGGGTGGGATTCAAAGAAGCCGGCAAAAATCTATAACCCATCCATCCACCATTATTTCGGGATTCAGGCTTGCATGTCTGACAGCAAATAAGATTCTCTAAGTGAGCCACCGATACTGATCAATAACGCAATAATTTTCGATGCCTCGTCATTCATCTTCATACTTGTTCGCAGTATCTATCATTTATATTAAGCACAGGAAATTCCTTGAGCAATCTTAGATTCGGCTGGAGACATCGCGTTGCCGAACGCTCATTTCTACCACGAGTGCACCAGTAACTTTTTCACTTCGTCAAATGAAGGAACTTAAGAGCGAGTCCGGTCGCTCAATTTTTATGGAACATTCCGTGTTACTATGCGCTTTGTCCTTCTTTAGCGTAAAGAGAAAAAAACAAAACAAAAAATCCAAACTAAGAACGACTCTTCATTACTAAGGGAAACTCTACGCATCATGCTCAGGTGCCTAATTTTTTGCGAATTTGAGGACTGGTTATAACGTTGTCGTACAATTAAATGATGCATTTCTCAGAAAATTGATAATGTCGCGATAAAAATCAATATTTTACATCATCGGCACAATAGGCAACGCGGGACCTGAGTTAAGGTGTGAAAGAAATAATCAAAGCTTCAATTAGTGTTGCATGCGGCGTATACTACACGAATTTCATTGTAACGCCTGGATGCAACTATTCGAACTCCATGGATGTCCGTGTTGCATACGCACGAGATTGAAGGCGTTTTGACTTCAAACACTAACCGCCTTACCACCGGGGATCAGTGGAGCGAGTCAGGGAGAGGAGTCATACAAAATGTGGAAACATTAAAAGCTCATATCGGTGTTTATACGGAGAGTAGAAGTTTTAGAAGTGGTTTCATCGATTTCCTCATAAAATTTACATCAGGAATCATTCCAAACATTTCATAACGGAAAGAAATAAACATCAAATTTGCAGTTTTTGTCGAAAATTCCATGTCCAATCTCCTTAAAGGACTCGTTTTAGGGCAGCGGGCTTCACTGCGAGGATCTAGAAATGACAGAGTGCCTTTAATCCCGCATTAATACTACCAAGACATCGCTTAGGCATTATTAATTGCCCTACAAATCATGCTCAACACATTGCGATATCAAAATTTGAGCAGAAAAGTTACACATACATCTTACGCCTGGATACAACTATTAGGAGATATCTTTGTAGCATGAACGAGAAATTGAAGGTGCTTTACCATTTTTGATCCTCGGAGTGAAGCCCGCGCCGCGGATGAAGTGGTGAGTACCTGGACACTCAAAACGCCTTCAATTCCGTGTGTATGCAACACGGGCATCGATAGAGCCCGAATAGTTTCATCCCAAAGTCTTAGAGAAATTTGTATAATCTTCGTCATATTTGACACTAATTAAATGCGCTATGCTTGTCTCTGTTACGCCGTAAATTAATTCGAGAGTTGCCTATTGTTTTAATGAAGTAAACAATTACTAATTTTTATCGCGACATCGTTAATTTTAGAGAAAACGCTTCGATTGTTTCAATCACTAATAACGTTGCCCATCTAAAATGTTGACTACACCCCTATACTAGTTTAGGAGTGTAGACGTGTACTTGTCCTGAACCTGGATAATCAATTAAGCGTGAATGTCACTTGTAATCTTGCAGTGATAATATTTATTCTTGAATTTGAATTATCAAGATTATAACTGCACTCAAGATTACCAAACTCTAGTAGTATTACGTCACAGAAAAGTGATGTATCTTGCTTTATTCTCATTGGTAGCATTGAGAAAGGTCATGTCCTTGTTATTGTTTGGAGCCAATTCGATTTCATGGAGAATCCCTTTGGTGATATGCCCACTTACAGCGTCTTGCATGCGTCTGAAGATATATGCATAGGTTCCAGTTTTTACAATCGAGTAGATGCGTGGATACAGAAAGAGGACAGAGGAAAAAACAGGAATTAAACTACTTTGGGTACTTGCCACGCAGACTTTATTCTAAAATAAGCACAAAAATAACCCATCGTGGATGTGACGAGGGGGATTGTATGTGATATCGTTGCTATGGCAACGAGCGGTAGCCCACAATAACAATATAACTCGGGGAAAACAAAACCTAGTGAATAAGATGGGGTTGTTGGATAAACTCTCCTCTCTGTTTCGCTTGAAAAAAAGGGAAGTGAAAGTTTTGGTGGTTGGTTTGAACAATAGTGGAAAAAGCACGGTGTTGAACCATTTGAAATCGGACGATGATAAAATCACAGTTGAGCCTACCGTTGGATTGAATGTTGAAAAATTTAAACGTGTGTATTTCAGGTATCTTAAATGAGTCAGTTTACCCATATTATCATCTATTTGTGTTAGAGCGAATACATTGAAGGTTAGGAGTACCTTGACACAGGATGCTTACCTACATCGAATTTTCTGAAGGTTTCATGAATCCTAATTTTATTATATTCTTTTTTTTGTGTGTGCGTAATTTGGTAGGTATTAGTGAGGTTCACATAATTACATTTTGATATGCACTATGCATTTTAAATTTTCAATACCTAGTTGCGTTTTATATGTCGGTTTCCATAAATTCTTGGTTTATTGCTCCGAATTTTAAAAATTTAAAACACAGTTTCATGGGAAAGGAATCATTGCACACTTGTCCTCGGCAAAGCTCGTGCATCTTATTTCTTATTCTCTATCCACTTGGGAGCTTAATATTTTTTGTGAAAGAAATGGTCGATTTTAACAGTAATATGAATATGGCAGCCGAAACATACTCAGACTCTATGGTAGCTTATATCAGAATCCTGTCTGCATTTGTCATGCCTATGGAGAATTTAACATGCTTTTTTCGGTTTGAGAAGGTACCTCGGTGTAGTCTAGAAGTTTTATAAATTAAACCTCTGCGTAGAGGGCATGTCAACATACGAGATGGATGATTCTCGTATGGAAAAAGTGAAAATAGTGGCGAAGTTTCTTGTGAAATACAGTAGACTCTGGATTATCCGGATTAATTGGTGCCGGGCCCGATCCGGATAATAATAGTAAACACAAACACCACCAACCAACACCACAGTATTCTAATTATGTATACATCATGTACATACCAACACGAATTTAAAAGGTTAACGCCAAATTGAACGACTCAATGGTGATTGTGAATGGTAGCCGACAACGATAAATTACAATACAACGATTAAAGCTCGCAATGCGTGAAGTATTCATACAGTCTTGTAGCCACTGATGTGCGTTTTAGGCTAACTAACCGACTGCACTGCGTTTGGCGTAATGCGAGAAGTATTCATGCAATCTAGTAGGCGCTAATGCGTTCCACGCCGACCTCACTGTTTGGCGCAATGCGTGAAGTATTCCTGCAGCCTTGCAGGCGCCAATATGCCTTGCGACCGCTTCTCCGCGGATCCGCTCACTTATCGGAATGCGTACGCAGTTACATGGTTGCAAAATCGATCCGGATAATCTAGAGTCCGGATAATACGAAGCCGTATAATCCAGAGTCTACTGTAGTTCTAAAACCTGTGGAAGCCATGTTTGAAACTATAGGAACCGACATTAGGTAACTTTATCGCTAAAAATTGCTTGATATGCGTACGGTTCAGCTACCGGGGCTTTGAGTCAGCGGGAAGACGGCTTAATCAATAGCGACGGATCGATCTATATATGGCTGATCAATGACTTTATGTGAAGAGAAAATCGAAAAGAACTAAAACACTCCTCACTTCCTTCATGAAAGTCCTAAAAAATAGGCATACCAACAGTGAAATTCCCAAATCACGTGACACGAGCATTCAACAGAACGAACCTGGGAACCGCACCTAATTAAGTGGCTTTGGAGTTTAATGAAGTCTTGAGTGGTTTCCGACAGTGCATCATGATTTCCCCTCGGATGGAAAGAGTGATAGCCGTCAGAATTCTAAGCTTTTGCAAATGCGTCTTTTCTTGGAATTCCAAACCCAGGTACTTCCGGAATTAATGATGTCCACATCTGACAATAAGTAATTTTAATAAGGGCCTTTGAAACGCAAGTTTGACCTGGATTATTTAATGCTCCTCGTTACTGGCTTCTTGGTATTTTTTCACCAATCGCTCAATGACAGTTTTAGGGGTTTGTAAATATTTTTTCATTATTTTACGATTTTTTTATAACTGTCATTGCTATAATAAGAGGCAAGGTTCCCGAGGCACTTCGTGGCTTGACCAACTCCTATTACGGTACATACAAGGTAGAGTCCCTCTGTAGGGAGAGTATGGACAACTCGATTTGTGTAGCTCTTAGGGCCCAAAAGAGCGGCAACGTGAAAAACGAAAATCACCAGAAAAGAGCCGCTGCTAACCTATGCATTCGAAAAATAAATCAATAGGGCTGACAGCGCATTGTAAACAAGCGTTTTTAAGGATTAAGACTTTGATTCTAAGAAAATGTGTGCGAAATCAAAGTTTTATACGTGCTTTTATAATTTTTGATCTGTGTACCTATATAGAGAAAAAAAAGGAGGTATTTGCATTTCGGGCATCTTGGAATTTTTTTGATGACGTAGGTCGGTACGACGACTTTTATCATCGATTTTCTTAGAAATGGTGTAGTTTATGGAAAAAATGCATACCACATAAAGTATTTGGAATTAAATCATGAGTTGATTTTAGCAAAAAAATCGAACATTATGATCCGTTTTCCATACTTCGAATTCGTGATTTCGTTGGTCAGGTTATACCGACCTACGTCACAGGGTAAACAAACCTCAAGATGCAAACACCTCCTTTTTTTCTCTATGGTGTACCTACTCTCGCAGTTTAAATTAGTACCACTTGATAATTCGAGTTCATAGGTTGGCTGACTTTTTGGGCCCCAAGAGCTGCATGACCTGATCAAACATATCCTCCAAATTTTCGAGCTGTCCATACTCTCCCTATAAAGGTACTCTAATACAAGGCATCTTACACCCATTCATAAATCATGAGAAAACCCTGGTGGAAGCAAGAACTTCGTTTTAAAATTCAACCGCTACCGACTGAATAACTAACCCAGCGCGATCCTCTGACTTTGAGTCACCGCGGAGAAGTAGAAGTAAACGTATACTTTTTTAGAAGAGGAACATGCTCATTCCCAGATGAGCCTTAAATTGCTAGTACTCTTACGTGGTTCAGGGTCCATCTAAAAATGGACACGCTCCTTTTCAGAAACGAGGCTTTAAGTAGGTGTGCAGTGAAACTCGCGGGACCCACCCACGACCATCGGCGAGATGAGCTCCTGCAGCGACGCTCGATTGTCCGATTAAAGACAACAATCGGAAGTCGATTTGTCGAATGGAAGGCGATTGCTGTGCTGGTGACGGGTCGATCGATATGATCAATCGATGATGGAGTAAGTCGCAAACGATGGACGGTTTTCGAGTGGCCCCTTACAATCGAAGTCCGCCGCGTACTCATGCATGAAATACTTCGCGGGCGTTTTTCTGCGGATCTTTGGATCTGCGCTGACGTGCTAAGGAAAAACGCCGTATGAACCTTCAGGCGTTGCCAAGTTACCTTTGATAAAACACGAATTTCCTGGTAGACTTTTGAATATTTTCCTTCCAATTTTTCAGCTAATTTTATTCACAATTTCACCTAAAGTTCCTGAAAATTTCAAGGAAAAATATTCATAGCTTTCCTCAAAAATGAACGATTTATCGAGGGAAATTCGGCAACTCTCGAATGTTCATACGGCGTTCTTCCTTAGCACGGCAGTGCGGGACTCGATTTTGTTGAGTAGTCGGTCGTGACCAAATTTGTGAGGAATGTTAAAGATAGGAGAAATTCCATCACCGATAAAATTCTGTTTTTTTCTCTCAATTTTTAGGGAAATTTTGCATAATTTTCAAATATTAAAACTGCTCTAACCGAGGACTTGATAACGAATCAGAATGAAGTTCGCTATTTCAGTGATTTCATCTTACAGAGATTGGACGAATTTCGAAGGAAACTCGATTTCGAAAAGACTTTCACTGCTCTCTTCGCTATTACGGCAGAAGTACTAGGGAAGTAATTCCTGGCTCACTACTGTGGCAACTCTGCTATAATGCACGCTGCCCTATCGCTGCGCGAAGAATATTGCGAATATGGTGCGGTGATGAATTTTCCTGTACAACGACCGACGTGTGTTTTCCCGATACGATCCTATCTTTAGAAGTTTTTTTTGAGCTTGAAATTTCATTTCAAACGACTAAACGAGACTCGTAATATACAGCTGTATTCTGCCATGCCGGGGAAGAACGCTATATGAGCATTTAGCCGATGGCTTAAAATCCTGATAAAATATTTATTTTTGAGATTCTAATAAATATTTTCCCCTAAAATTTTTAGAGAGTTGATTACGATTAAAATTCTCCGAAGAGAAAAGAAACATTAAAATAAATATATTTACTTAACACTCTCTTTTGATCCTTTACATTGCTAACTCAGTATTAAAATTTTGCGGTCCCTTTTCCTGTGCATGATCGCATGTCGTCGTTTCCTAGGCAAATGACCATAACTCCATTTCAAGGTCGTAAAATCGACAAAAACGATTCAATTTTATTCAAGAATCAGATTATACAATTCTTTTCCATAATGAAGCTGATTTTGGTTGTAAAAAAAAAAGACAAGTCTGTGAAATTTTCAAGAGGAAAGGTCAAACGATCCCACAGCAAAAATGCGATCAGGGAATGGAAAAAATGCAACATTCACGGAGAAAAAAGATTGGTAGAATTTACCATTTCTTCACGTTGTATTTTACACAGCGAGAATTCAAAGTCGATTCTGTCAGAGGAATAGTCATCTGTACCAGTATATAGTAACGTTTACCTTTCCTCTGGCAGAATTGACTCTGAATATTGACGCTCTGTGAAATACAGCGTGACGGAATATGGTAAATTCTACCAATCTTTTTTCTCGTTGTTGATATACAGTGACGTTTCCTCGTCTAGAAAACAGCGACGCGGAAAAAAATCTGAGCTCGATAAATCGATCCATCGATTATTTCGATTCTCGGGTTGTCGGTGTGGGATAGGGCGAGCGGGCCTCTTTGCGCACTTCTCTGACGTCAGAACGTTACTGCTTTTTGAGTTGAGCCTTGATGTCCATAAGATTCTATGATTTCCAGGGCCCAAGTGGAATTGGACTTACGCTGTTGCGTCAGAGGAGTGACGAGTGACAATCGGCGCGGGTTGTGGAGCGAGATGCGATGATGAGGGAATTACCTTATTGACTGAACAGATTCATTCACATTTTTTGTTCCCGCGCTCGCAAATCCTACGCACACCGCCTAATCTAAATAAATTACGTCACGTTCGCGAGGCTCGCAAGCTCAGGTTCGGCTGTGAAACCCTTGATGAATTGGACGTATTTCTGCCAAACGGAACTGTGTGCATTAAGACATGAGCCCTGAGACCCATAAGAATATGTGCATAACAGGGCTCACTTCATAAGGCACACAGTTCCGTTTGATAGAAATACGTCCAATTCTCCGTCCCACAGTGGATCGAGTCAACTAGAGCGGTTGGACGTGAAATTTCCGACTAAAACTGAAAATTTTGACGTTTATTTCGTCACACTTTAAATTTCGAGGGGTGCTTTTTAAGAAAATTTCACGAGAAAACCGATGGAACCACTTTTAGAACCTTAAAATTTTGTATGAGCAGAGTTATAAGCGTGAAATGTTTCCAAATTTTGTCCGACCTCTCATACTGACTCGGTCCACTGTGCGTCCGTCAATATCGAAGACCGAAAGGAATGAGTCGTGTTGGAAAGGACCGTAAAAGGACTCTCCGGAAGTATAATATGGAGGGCAGAAAACACGGAGCTCAAATTTTGTGTCTGTATTTTTACATTTTTTTGTAAAAAAATATATATATTATTATGATGATTCACAATCAGTTGGAAGAGAACTCAGTTTTTCACTGTCTTGCTATAGCTAACTTCTACAATCATCATCACAGAATGGAGCACCGTTGCCACACTTTGCGACGGTGGCTGATTTCGCCTTCATTCTCAGTGAATAGGCAAAAAAAGCTCCCATACGTTGAAATAGTTGCATTATCAGAAAGTGCCATGTAACTTTAGTGTTTTTAATGCATATTTGAAGAGCTCAGATGGAATTCTCCTGATAATTCATGTTCATGTATTAAGAAGCTCATTGAAACAACTAGTTGCGTACCCATAATAAAGGATGCGACTCCAAGAAATACAAATTTAATGGTTAAATCAACATGAACTACATAGCACGCAAATACCGCCATCTCTCTATCACGGTATTCCGCCCTCGGGGGGTGGAGCCGCGTGGTGGCCAAGGGGCGTGCCCCCTAGTGCAACCAAAATCTTACCACTGTTGCAATGATCCAGTACTAAAGGCCCCTTTCTCTTTGCAGATAACAATGTAAAGGCCCCTTTCTCTTTGCAGATAACAATGTGGGGTTCTCGGCGTTGGACATGTCGGGTCAGGCTGATTTCGCCTTCATTTTCAGTGGATAGGCAAAAATAGCTCCCATACATTGAAATCGTTGCATTATCAAAGAGTGCCATGAAACCAGGCTTACCTCCTAGTACACGGAGAAAAAAACTTCGTGCGTGGGACCCGAAGTTTAGGTCAAATGGATCTCTGAAGTTGTCGGATTGAGCATCTGAACACTTTAGGTCCAGCTGCTGAGGTTTGGATCACACATCTGAAACTTCAGTTCTTACATCTGAAGTACTTCGGTTTTCACATCCGAAAAACTTCGGTTCTCACATCTGAAGTACTTCAGATATAAGAACTGAAGTTTCAGATGTGTGATCCGAACCTCGACAGCTATAGACCTAAAGTGTTCAGATGCTCAATCCTAAAACTCTACAGATCCATATGACCTAAACTTCGGGTCCCACGCACGAGGTTTTTTTCTCCGTGTACAACCAAAATCTTTCCACTGTTGCAAGACCCAGCACTAAAGGCCCCTCTCTCTTTGCAGATAACAATGTGGGGTTCACGGCGCTGGACATGTCGGGTCAGGTGCGGTACCGGGAGGTGTGGGAGCACTACTACTCGGACTGCGAGGGGATCATCTTCGTGATCGACAGCAGCGACCGTCTCCGGCTGGCCGTCGTCCAGGAGGAGCTAGAACTCCTGCTCCAGCACCCGGACACCGTCGGGAAGCGGCTCCCGATCCTCTTCTTCGCCAACAAGATGGACGCCCGCGACGCCCTCTCCAGCGTCAAGATCGCCTCCGCCCTCAACCTCCACCGGATCATCAACAAGCCGTGGCACATCTGCGCCAGCAACGCCGTCAAAGGCGAGGGACTAGACGAGGGCATCGAGTGGCTCACCCAGCAGATCTGCGAGAATATCCGGAAGGAATGATCATCTTCGGCGCCGGCAGAGATAAGAGACGCTACTTTAGGGTGCCCCTTAATTTTGAAATTCGAGAAATGTTAAGCTCCTCAGGTCTCAAAACGTGCTGTGAGGTGTAAAAATAAGGGATATTTTTTGAAAAAAATATTTAAAAGCCTCTCTAGAAGCAGATCTGCTAGAATATTTGGAAAGAATGATCATCTTCAGTGCGGGCAGAGACAAGAGACTCTACTTTAGGGTATCCCTTAATTTTGAAGTTTGTGAAAAGTTAAGTTCCCCAGGTCTCAAAACGTGCTGTGAGGTGTTAAAATAAGGAATATTTTTAAAACATGTTTAAACATTTTCTTAGAGACCTCTCTGGCGGCAGATGAGAAGAAACCACTAAAAAGTGGCCCGAACTGTATGTAACAAGGTAGAGAAATGGTGCCGGGTTCACACAATTTTGCGGGGAAAACAAAGCCAAGAAGTTCTGAAGCCAGCAGATCTGCGAGAATATCCGGAAGGAATGATCATCCTCAGCGCCGGCAGAAATAAGAGACGCTACTTTAGGGTGCCCCTTAATTTTGAAATTTGAGAAAAGTTAAGCGCCTCAGGTCTCAAAGCGTGCTGTGAGGTGTAAAAATAAGGAATATTTTTGAAACATTTTTAAAATGACTCAGGGTCCTGGGTCTCAGCATGACATGGGTAGAGACCCTATACTCTTTAGGGTGGGGCCCCAGGGGCTCTACTTCCTTAATTTTGAAATTTGAGAAAAGTTAAGCTGTCTCAAAACGTGCTGCGAGGTGTAAAAATACGAAATATTGTTTGAAAAAATGCTTGAACATTTTTTTCGCGGCCTCTCTAGCAGCAGATCTGCGATAATATCCGGAAGGAATGATCATCTTCAGCGCCGGCAGAGACAAGAGACTCTACTAAAGTAGAGTCTCTTGTCACCCTAAAGGGTGTCCTTTAATTTTGAAATTTGAGAAAAGTTAAGTTCTTCACGTCTCAAAACGTGCTGTGAGGTGTTAAAATAAGGAATATTTTTTGAAAAAATGTTCAAACAAATTTTTAGAGGCCTCTCTAGCGGCAGATCTGCGGGAGTATTCGGAAAGAATGATCATCTTAAGCGTATTTTTGTTGATGATCGATCGAGCCAAAATGCCGCGATGATGGCGGCGAGATCATAATCGGGTTGGTGAACATTTGAGGTAACAATTTCGAAATAGATGAATGATGCTGGTCGGATGCCATCATCTTCATCAGGTCTTTTCTGAACTCTACTTTTTGTAGGATTATATATTGGCTCCGATGTTTGCAAGAAGTCCACCCTCTATGAAAAATTATGATTGCGTCAAAACAAAATACGAAACCGCTTGATCCACCCATTTTGGTTCGACCGATCTTCAACGAAAATACGCTTCTTCAGCGCTGGCAGAGACAAGTGACCCTACTTGAGGGTGTTCCTTCATTTTGAAATTTGAGAAAAGTTAAGCTTCTCAGGTCTCAAAACATGCATGAGAGGAGGGACTGGGAAAGGAATACCTACATGCAGAAATCAAGATTATCTACTTTCATTTATTGAGTGATTATCGTAATTTTGGGGCGCAAAATTTATGCAAGAGTTTTTGTCTAATCAGTAGGACGTATAGAGAATCGGTTTTAAATACAATTGAGACCCTTCTCTTGCTATTCGTGAAATGTAAAACAAGCGAGACACAATTATCGTTGGGCATTTAGTACCTATTTTTTTCCCCGCATCGGCAGTAACATTTATCTTTGACTATAATGATGGTCAATGAATTATTCCTCAGGCAGTTTGCCAAGCTAAGCTGTCGCGACGGTTGAAATTATGTCTTCGATACAGGTCATTTTGTTGACGCTCAACAGTCTGACCGTTATTTTATTCGTTTTCTGAAAAAATTTAGGATCGTGAGTTTAAGAGTCAGTATGATCCATATTAATTTATCATTATATGATCCATATTAATGGGTATTGATGACCCTTTGGAATACGTTGTAAGGATAGCTTGTAACCCATTGAGAGGGTGTGAAATGACAAAAAGTAATAAAAACTATTAAAAAGGTAAGAATAATAAGAAGAACAACCCTTAAGAGACAAGACATGGTGAAGGCAAAAACTTTTACAAACTCGGAAATATTAGGCAGAATATTTCTTAAAAACATAATTAGAAAATAAGAGAAAAAAAACGAAAACTTTTTTGTTCTCTTCATAGTATCACGTTCAAAGTTATAATATGCATGGCCATCTATGCAATAAAACAAGAATTATGCCGGTCCGTGTGTTTTTATCATCCATTCGTTTTCGGAGTGCTGCTGATGCGTGCAGCTGTCTGCTGCCCATGTAACGAGTAACGTTTGACATAGATTGAGGAATGAAATGTCCCGGCATCGCGCTCGAGTAGATTATAAAACTCCTTCAATTCACCGTGATGCAGCACGGATAACGATGCTATCCCACTCGTGTCAGAGAGCCATTAAACAACCGCGCGTTTTGTTTACCGTCATGCGCTAATGGAAAACGCCGCATGAATATTTGGACTTCACCAAATTTCCCTCCGTTAAGTACGTCTTTTCATTGAAATTTGTATATAAAATTCTCCTAATTTTTTCAGATATTTTTGCAATTCTATAAGGAAAAATGTTTATAACTTCTCTATAAATAAATGTATCATCAGGGGCAATTTGGCAATATCCGAAAGTTTTTATGGCGTTTTTCTATCGAGTCGGTGCACACACACACCGACGGCTCACCTAAGTTGAATTTGGATTTCTGATTAAACATTACGTTATTAAAAAAAAAAAAAAAAAAAAAAAAAAAAAAAAAACAACAGCAAATCGCGAAAATATTGACTTTAAGCCATCAAAAACCAACACTCATGTCCTTTAAACCGATACGAATCGCTATCTATTGCTAATTTTAAGCGTAGAAGTCAATTTTTCCATTTTTGAGCATTATTTTCTTAAAGTTGGTTCAAAAGCACCAGACTCTAAGAACTTGAATTAAGCTAATAATTAATAATAACTCACCATGCAGCTCTCGATATTCGAGCAGTGTTTCGTTTTGAAGAAGGTATTTAAAAGATTTCTTCAATATTGACGAATGATTTTTTTTCAATTTGAACCTTTTTTACTAGCGCATTATGGAGGAACGATCGTGGTTTCAAATTGAGGATTTCGTTGAATTAAGTTTTTTTAGGTATAGACTTTTCCCCCCTGTGTTTTGTTTTCTTTTGGTTTAGCTCAGTCAGATCTTCCATTCATATTTAGTTATAGTATAGATTTAAATTTTAAATTAGAGCAAATAACTTGAGAGCTCATCTGGCAAATCGATGGTGAACAAACAGTACTGCCTAAGTGCCTATCTGCAAACTGGCGATTTTGCAGAAATTAGGGGAAACTTCGTTATTTTTGTAATTTTAAGATTAGATGGGCAATTTTTTTATACATTACAGCGTTATTGAGGCACTTTCCAACAGAGTTGGAAAACACCTGAAATCATAAGCTTGCGTATTCTATACTGTAGAATTCGACAAAGTCGCTAACTCATTTTTCTCAAAATGTGTCCTCGTGTTTAGTTCACTTGCTAGTTTCCACTTAAACACGAAATTCATCAAATTTCAGACTCCTGCAAATTCTCTATTGTCAGTTAAACGCAATTGTTCGTTAGCCATCGGAATGCAAAGTTGTGCAAAAATGTCAAACGAGGAACTCACTAAAAATCAGAAAAATCACTGTATTGTTTATAATTCCTATCGAATGTATGAGTTATACCTCAAACTTTTGCTCGTCCTATTGAGACCTAGGTCGGAAACTTTGTCAAAGACCTTGATCTGAAAATTTCAATCTATCTAGAATGTAACGAAAACAGCATACTTTTGACCGTTAGAAATTGAGAGAACTCACTAACTATACTTACCATGTATAAAAGAAATGAACGCATCGCGTAATAAGTGAAGTGAAAAGCTAAATAAACAAATGATTTAATGATTGAATTTTGTTAAAAACAAAGAAAATGTCGACACATTTGCTTTGGCTTAAAGCTTTCATTTTAGGTCAAAACAATCTATGAACGGAAAAAACAACCTGACGGTGAGCAGGCAGTAGGAGGGCTCAGCACTACTATGCCTTTAGTTGGCCCTATTTTACCTCAAGTGTTAGGGCTAAGCACTACTTTGTTTTTTTCCGCGTCGCCCCTTTACTTAAATTCAAGCTATGCAACTATCTGATGTTACGTTCCAACTAATATTTGTTTGTAGTTTTATAAGCTTTACAATGTATATGGAATTGGAAATGCATAATTATTTTATAAACAATCAATAAATAAAGACAAGTTTTATATCCAAAGACTCTCATTAAGTTTTCGGGACTGACTTCGTCAAAAGCAAGGGCGATTCCATCAAGTTGGCAACTCCATATTCCCCAACCCCCTACTGTTGCAATGGCGCGGCGGTCAAAAATCCTCGAGGCTGCGAAATAATGAAAAAGGATAAACTTTTGTAAACAGTAAAAAGAACACGGGAAGGAAGTATTTTTGGAGGTAAATCTGTAAAAGTTAAAAAAAAAAATACTGAATTGGAAAAGGAGGGATGGGGCAAAGTCCAGAAAAAATACTATTTTTAAGAGGTTGGCTCGGAAGTTTTAAGAAAGTGCGGAAATTCTATGAAAAGGTCCTGAAATTCGCTCCTCGTGTCACATGTGTTTTTTAAGCATGATGTCTAGGACCGAGAATAACAGGGAACAGGGGAAGCGATTCATTAGGGAATGGATAAGTTCAGAGAAATTAAGGGAATCAGCTCCAGAGACTAGTAATCTTTTCTTTTACCAATTAAAACTATTTCGTTTTCCAAATTTTGAGGAAATTTCAAGTACCTGGTGTTATTTAGGTTTATGTCATTGCACACGAGCCGCCATTGTGGACCTACTGAATGACATATTTGAACTCCCCAGAATGCGTGAGGTATCACGCTTCAATTGAAGGCGTTTATGAATCTTCTGTATTTACATGACGAGATTTTCCAAACCGTTTCGTATTATATTGTGGATTTGAGTTCCTTTTATTACTTAGTTCAATTACTCCTACTGTTTAATTTTTAATTATTCTGCAAAAAGTATCCATTTGCGAAGTACAACCCTGACTTTAGCGCCCTTAAACTACGACCTTAACGGTCGAAACTGCAGTAGCGGCACAGGAAAGCCAAAAAACCAAGCGGGGACGCTACTTCAATATTAAGCTTCCATCGCCTTGCTAAGGCGCAGGGATACAACTATTTGAACTCTCCGGAACGCGTGAGGTATGACACCTCATTTGAAGGCGTTTTCGAATCCTCTGTATTTACATGACGAGATTTTCTAATTTGTTTTACATTATATTGTAGATTTGAGTTCCTTTGATTATTTAGTTAAATTACTCCTGCTCCTTAATTTTTAATTAGGCTGCAAACACTATCCATTTGCGAAATACAACCCTGGCTTTAGCTCCCTTAAACTACGTTAGTTCTTTGAAATTTAATTATAGATTTGAGTTCCTTTCGTTATTTTGTTAATTTATTCCTGCACATTGATTTTTAATCATTATGCAAAAATTTTCTTCTTGCAAAATATAATTCTGGCTTTAGCGCCCTTAATCTACGGCCTTAACTTTTGAAACTACAGTTGCAGGCCACAGGAAAACCGAAGAACAATTAGAGGACGCTAGTTCAATATTAAACTTCCATCGCCTTGCTAAGGCGCAGGGATACAACTATTTGAACTCTCCGGAACGCGTGAGGTATCACTCTTCAATGGAAGGCGTTTTCGAATCTTATGTATTTACATGACGAGATTTTCCAACTTTGTTGCATTATATTGTTGATTCGACTTACTTTTATTAATTAGTTAAACTATTCCTACTTCTTAATTTTTAATTATTCTGGTAAAATTTTCTTTTTGCGAAATACAATCCCGGCTTTAGCGCCCTTAAACTCCGGCCTTAACGGTCGAAACTGCAGTAGCGGCAGAAAGCCAAAAAACAACGAGAGGACGCTATTTCAATATTAAACTTCTATCGCCTTGCTAAGGCGCAGGGATACAACTATTTGAACTCCCCGGAACGCGTGAGGTATCACGCTTCAATTGAAGGAGTTTTCGAATCTTCTGTATTTAAATGACGAGATTTTCCAAATTTTTTTGCATTATATTTTAGATTTGAGTTTCTTTTATTATTTAGTTAAATTACTGCTGCTCCTTAATTTTTAATTATGCTGCAAACACTATCTATTTGCGAAATACAACCCTGGCTTTAGCGCCCTGAAACTACGTTAGTTCTTTGCATTTAATCGTAGATTTGAGTTCCTTTTGTTATTTTGTTAATTTATTCCTGCACATTGATTTTTAATCATTATGCAAAAATTTTCTTCTTGCAAAATATAATTCTGGCTTTAGCGCCCTTAATCTACGGCCTTAACTTTTGAAACTACAGTTGCAGGCCACAGGAAAACCGAAGAACAATTAGAGGACGCTAGTTCAATATTAAACTTCCATCGCCTTGCTGAGGCGCAGGGATACAACTATTTGAACCCTCTGGAATGCGTGTGGTATCACTCTTCAATGGAAGGCGTTTTCGAATCTTTTGTATTTACATGAAGAGATTTTCCAAGTTTTTTTGCATTATATTGTCGATTTGAGTTCCTTTATTATTTACTTAAATTATTCCTGCTTCTTAATTTTTAATTATTCTGCAACAATTTTCTTTTTGCGAAATACAATCCTGGCTTTAGCGCCCTTAAACTACGGCCTTAACGGTCAAAACTGCAGTAGCGACACGCAGGGGCGGACTTGTATTCGAAAAGTTAGGAGGAGACCTAAATGTAAGGGCCCCTCCTGTCGTTCGGGGGCCCCTCTAAGAAGGTCCGGCGGCCCTCCCTCGGTAAATTTTGAAAATTTCACGTTTTTCAAACACGTAGGCATTATTGGAGTTGGATTCTACAGTACTTGAACTTCAAAATAACCCATTCTCAGGATTCATCGGGGGTCCCTCCATCACAAATGCTTTTGGCTACCTCCCATGTCTCTTAGAGACAAATTTTCAAGGAATTCGGGGCCTTTTAGTGATTGAAAAGGATACGAAAATTACAACATTACGGGAAAAAAACGATGACTCGAAAAAAATTCGCCGCGGGGGCCCCTTCGGGACCTCCGCGGCAAATTGTTAGGGGGCGATCGCCTCCCCGCCCCCATGGCCAGTCGGCTCCTGAGCAGAATATTCGGTATTTCAAGCTGCGAGGCTGACTTTTTCCTCCTCGAAAAAGTAAACTAGGTGCGGAGATTTTGAAACACTGCAATAGAGTTGCGTGGTGTCGCACTTTAGCCATCAATATGACGTGCTAATAACACGGCAGAACACTGCCGTTTTTAGGAAAAATGCTGCATGAAAATTCGAGAATTGACAAATTTCCCACAGTAAATTTTTTATTTTTAACGAGAGTTGTGAAAATTTCCTCTCAAAATTCTCAGATTATTTAGATCTTATCGCGAACAAAATTCTCAAAAAAATTTGAAGACATGTATTCGCAGATTTCCCTGGGAATACATGTTTTTCAGATGAGCTTTAGCAACGTCTGAGGAAACATACGGAGTTCTTTCTCAGCGTGGCGGGATAACTCTCATTCTGTCGTAAAAACCCCCGAATCCGCAAAAAGATTCTCGCCGTAAACACGCGATTCCTATAACCAATAGCACTGCACGAGACCCATATTTACGTAATAGTCGCATCATAGCGTTCAAAATGCGACCGTAAAGCAGCAATATCGCAGCCTCCTACTGTAAAAACGCAGCTTGAGATGAAGACGGCTCCGCACAGTGACGAGGTGTGATAAATCGATTTTCGATAATTCCCCATTGGAAGCTATGGTAAAGAATCGATTATTAAGGTGTTCAGAGCGAACACCCTGTTTATCGATCCTTTTCCATTGGTTGAAAGGTAGATCAATTGATTTGTAGCAAAGCACGCCAGCACGCCACGCCACTTGCTACATACTGCCATGCTGAGGAAAAACACAGATGAACATCCGAATGTTGCAAAACTTCCGTTTATGAAACATTCATTTTTGAGGATACTGATGAATATTTTTCATTGAAATCAGATGATGTAGATTAAATTGCGAGATAAATTCTCTGAAAATTTGGGAGAAAAATGTCCACAAGTTCCCTTGAAAATTTTTATTTTATCAGAAGAAGTTTGCCGACGTCTGAAGGCTCCTACGGCGTTTTTCCTTAACATGGCAGCATAGGCTACGCCGGTGTAGGGCTAAGTCTGCCGTGCAAGGGAAAAAGAAAAACGCCGTATGAACCTTCAAGCGTTGTCAAATTCCCTTTGCTGAAATACAGAGTTCCTAGTAAACTTATGGATATTTTCCTTCCAATTTTTCAGCTAATTTGGTTCATACTTTCACCAAAAGTTCCTGCAAATCCAATAGAAAAATATTCATAGCGTTACTCAAAAATAAACATTTTATCGGAGCAAATTTGGCATAAAATGTCCGGAAAATGAAAAATATCCACAAGTTTACCAAGAAATTCGTATTTTATCGAAGAGAATCTGGCAACACTTGAAGGTTCATACGGTGTTTTTCCCTAGCACGGCAGACTTAGCCGTACACCGACGTTACCTATGCTGCGATGCTCAGGAAAAACGCCGTATAAGCCTTCAGATGTTGCCAAACTTCTTCTAATAAAATGAAAATTTTCAAGGGAACTTGGGGACATCCCCCCCCCAATTTTCAGAGAATTTATCTCGCAATTTAGTCTGCAGCATCTGAAAATTTCAATAAAAAATATTCATAAATATCCTCAAAAATGAATTTTTTATATACGGATTTTGGCAACTCTTGGATCTTCATACGGCGTTCTTCCGTAGCACGGCAAAAGTGCGGTGTAGCGTAAGCGAGAGACGGGTCGGGATGGGCGGGAGAACCACCACGGGAGGGGAGGGAAGGGGTAGAAGGGGAGGAAGGGATGATGGAGAAGACCCACCCTTCATCCTCGGCGTATCACGCGGTGGCATCCATTAGGAGTCTATGATCTCCCCGGCTCCCGGGAGAGCCGCGAGAGGGGGCGTGTTTTTTTCCGCGCCGGCCAATGAGAGCCTCGTTCGCGGCGGGATATTATGCTCCCCAAATTGCCGGATCAATTGCCTCTCCAGCTATAACCGATCTCTCCATTCACTACCCCGGCAACTGTTGCCCCGCTTATGCCCGCGCCATGGTCCCGAGACCGCTCTAATTTCCCCGTGATTTCGCTTTAATTGCTTCCGCGTTCTCTCGTCTTCGTCGTCGGCTTCCGGTTCTCGGTTTCCGGTTTTGAGTTTCCGCGCTTCTGACAGTCACGTTTTCTCCCTTCGGAGAGGTTTGTCAGGATATCCTCTGTTGTAAAAAATTGTGCTTGTCAACACCTTGTTAATACCCCTAATCGATCCTTCAAATCAATTGGTTACATAGTTTTTTAAGACGGATTTTGTGTGGATTTTTGGTGACTGTGATTAGCACTTCACTCAATGGTTGAACATAAGCATACATAAATTTCACGGATGTCAGGTGTTCCATAATATGTAAGACAATTTACTGAATTTAATCTTCCTTAATTTTTAACGTTTAAATCTCAATTCTGTGTCTGAGGTGAAAACCAAATTAAAAATACCTAATGCAAATTGAAGTGCGGTGACGTACGGATTTTAATGGTCTGCGGCGGTGTGTTTTTTTTATTGAGGAGATCAATTAACGATTTTATAATGCTTAACTCAATACTTTGCGGTATGCGAAATTTTTTGGGAGGAGCCCAGTCTCAAAATAATGTCTAAACAAAATTGTAGTATAAGTGCGCGCAGTTTCTGGTTCGATCGATAATTGGTGGTTAATACTGACGTTGAACGCTAAACGATTTTGGAGCTTCCAAAAGACTATCAAGGATAAAAAGTTCGCGCAGAAACACTTGGTGTTTATTGAAAAAAGCTCTGAATCTTGGACACAAAATATTTTAAGCCGCCCTTAAAAACGCCCCCTTACAATCACAAGGTACCAAACTCGATAAAAATTGTGGTCTAAAGCTGTGAATGTGAGGGCTGTCTGCCATTTCAAAACGTCCACGTTGGTGAAAGAGCAGGCTATAAACTCTCGGAGACGCTCTCCAAGCGACATTAACTGATCATAACAATTAGTGCTTTGCTGGATGGAGGGATTGTGAATAATTTCAAGACTCTCGATAATTTTGTGTCAAAGTGGTCAAAAGCTGCGAAATACTATTGGAAGCACAAGCAGATATCCATTTAAAAAAACCCGATCGCAACAAATAGTGGTCAAAAAGCCGAAGGGTCCATTGAATTTGCCTAATTATTTAGACGCTGAGAGGTTTGGAAAATTAGTGGGCGCCCTCCAGAACATCATCCATACGCCCAACAGAAGCAACGAATTCCTGCAAAGATAACGGCTGAAAGTTGTGAATGCAAAAACTTTGTATCTCTTAAAGACTTCTGCCGAGCTTGACTCAAAATATATAGCGGAGGTTGTGAAATACTCAAAAACGCTTTTGAAAACATCTGTCAGACGCCCTTTTAATATATATCGTGAGTTATTTCAAGACGCCCAACTTCCCAGTGGTTAGATGTTAACATTTATGATAACACGAAGACGCCCTTTCAATGTAATGAAACACGAAGACGCCCACACTTGACTCAAAATAAATAGCGGAAGCTGTTAAATACTCAAAAACGCTTTTGAAAACCTCTATCAGACGCCCTTTTTATATACACAGTGAGTTACTTCAAGACGTCCAAATTCTTAGAGGTTAATGATTTTGATTACACGAAGACGCCCTTTCAATGTAATGACCCACGGAGACGCCCATCCTAGTTGCTAAGCGAATCCTAGCTGGCGATGTCCTCGGAACAATCCTGGCCGGAGGCGGAGGACAGGCTGGACCCGCGGGGGCAGGAGATGGTGGAGAAGGAGCTCTCGACGCGGATCCCGAAGGACCCGGCGGGGGGCGCCAACCGGACGTCGTTCTGCATTGAGGCGCTCCTCGGGCGCCCGGAGATCGAGCGGGCGTCGTCGCCGCTCTCCAGGGCCTCCAGCAGCTCCCCGAAGAGCTCCCGCAACGAGGAGACCAGCTCCCGGAGCCCCTCGATCTCGCCCGGCTGCGAGGAGCAGATCGCGCACCCGCTCCCGCCGAACATGATGCCCATGCCGGGGATCTTCCTCGGCCGCAACCCGGTCTACCCGTACAACTCGGCTTTCCAGAGCCTCCCGCAGCACGGACACGGCAAGCCCCTGGCCAACGGACCTGCCCCGCCGCACCTGCAGCATATGCAACTGGAGTGGCTCGCCAGGGCGGGGATGTTCTACGCCGGACCACGGTTACCCGATCTTGCAGGTTAGTTTCTTATTGGAGTCGGATAGAGGCTCTTTCATTCTGGCGTATTATCGAGAAGAGTAGTAAAGGGCCGTTCTTAAATGACATCATACTTAGGGGTAGGGGACAGGGGGGTTAATGACCGCCCGACAAATATTTCCGGGTAAAAGTGAGAGGGTGCCTGACACTGTCATTTTCCGGCCAAAGTATTACAAGCGCCATGCAACGTTTAATAAATGCTGCCATTTTTTTTACAGAGGAATTTTTCAATTAAGCCATCCGAAAATGTCACGGAATTTTCTTTTGCCGATAAAATTCGGCGAAATTTTCAAGCAGATTCAACCAATAATATCTCTGTAAAAAATAAAATGGCGGCGGAAATTTTGAAACGTCGCATGGCGCTTGTGATAGGATTGGTGGTAGATTGGCCGGAAGGTGACGACATGACGTCGCTTCCCAGACGAAGGAATGTGACTCCGTTCTGGAGATGCAAAATTGACTCAAACAATTAAATTTTTCACAAGAATGTAACTTAACAAATCGTGCGCCGTTAAAAATCGAAGAGTGAATTTCGGCGCCGGAGTCAATGTAGCGCCCAAAAACCCCGCGGGATATGACTGCTTGGTGAACTTAGCACCTTAAAAGCGTATTACACTCCGCAAAAAGAGTGAATTCCACTTCGTAATGGTAAGCATGTAAATCACCTTATGGATTCCGCTTCACATTTATGTCGATCTGGGTTTTTGGACGCTATGTAGACTCCGGCATAGAATTGGCGAAATTCGTCGCTTATGACTGACAAAAAGGCGTAACTATACGGAGATGAGTCCGGAAAAGTATTGAGTTATATGGACGACAGGATCCATCCCGAAGTGTAGTTACGTTCTTGTGTCAGGAGGGGAACGAATTGCTGAGTCTGGATACTAGGCAACTTTTTTGTCCCGTCCAATCGGATAGACAATCAGTGTTATTATCAGCTCGCTTTTGCTTTTTTGCGTCTACGATGTAAAGATTATGAGCTTTGATTATATTCCTCCGAATGATCAAATGAGAAAATAAAATAGAAGAATAAATGAATAATCAGTTCACACACAAGAATGTTGATGAGCGTGCCGATATTGCGGTCTAAGTTAGCTGAAAGTACATCGATTTTGAAACTGCACAGAAAAAGAATGGATAACTCGATCGCAGAAAAGGATAATTTCGACGCCGTTAAGTTTACATTTGATCTAGCTTTCGCGACCTTGGATTTTTGTATTTTGGAAATTTGAGTTTATAATCAAGTTTCCTGTTAATAAATACGCGCAGGTACTAAGTTTCACAAAACTAGATTGAACATGAGCCGCATATCGCACGATCAGTAGGACTGTACACAACGGTAAACAATACCAGTCAATTTACATACGTTAGTGCGCCTTCAATCACGTTTGATACTGTGCAACACTTCTGTGGTGGAATAGTTGCTTATAGCGCCTTAAAGAGTATCGCTTCGACTTGATGGCAGAAGATCACGATTACCGCTGATGTTACACCATAGCGCGTGCGCAGTTACACATTTTCTCATTACCGACGATGATATGAAAAACATTCATACCTTAATTTGCGGCGTTGCAAGCTTTCGTGTGGGTAAACGAAAATGAACACTTCAAAATCTGCCGTGATTTTCCCGAGATACGACGAAAAATATTTGTTTAATTTTTCTATTCAGGTTTATTTGTGCGCTTTTTTTAAAAAGGAAAAATGGAGTATGAGTAGGATCCTTCGAACGGGAAAAAATGGATCCGGAATTTTATAGCCTTTGACTTCAAGTAAATGGGCCCTTACAGTTGATGAAGCGCCGAAATATCTTGGATATGTGTTGTGATTACCGTCAAAGAGTTACTTTTTACCATGATAAGAATAAAACTTCTTTGCTATTAATATTTTTAAGTGAGTTTGCGTGAACACATTTTGATTTAAAATATTCGTCATTTTATAAATATTCTTGTACTTTTTGACCATTCGGATGGTGAAACAACAGGATCGCGTATTTTGGTTTGCAACATTACAGACGTCCTGTCTGGTCCTGTCTCACTTCATTTTCAAATAGATAGATAATTAACGTCATTTTTCGAAAACGACCCTGATTTGTCTCCTCTATATGAAGGATATTCTGTGAAAATTTTAAGAAATAGCGTTGGTTTGCTCTTCTTTGATACAACGAAATGAGAGGAGAGATCTCGAAACACCAAAAACGAGACCAGCACTCCAGTAGTTTTCTTTTATTTAATAGGCCGCACAGTGTACATTGAGGTGCAACATTACTTAGATGGTACAGTGTGCTCGCGAAAAATTCCAAGAGGATGTAATAAGATTTTCGAAAATATCTCTTATACGAAAGTAGTTCAAAGCATGATACAATTTAGGAAAAAGGAAGGTGTTCCGTCTAAATGAAGGTAAAATATATCACTTTCAAAATGTTAACTGCAGGAGGCTAAGTAGACTTGATCAGTCAAATGAATACCTCTCATCTAACGAGAAAGCGCGTTGCAGACTTGGCAAATTGAAGGGGAACAAGAATATTTCATGGAAAATAGGACATTATCACCATTATGATTGTTAATAACTGCATTAAATGGAATTATTCCGCTGTCAATTTGTTTCAAAGTCATGATTTATAACAATGGAACCAACTGCATTTTATGACATTTGACTGGACATAAAATAAATCACTTAAATTCTATTATTATACAAGAGAACGTTAAAAGGCGTTGAAACGCGTTACAGTATCCTCCTTCAAGAAATACAAATTTCAGACATTCTTTGACATAGATTCTGTAAAATAAAGGGTGAAATTGTTCGATCGCGCATGTAAATCTTAAAACTCCTCGTTTACGCAAATATTGTGTCGTAAGTTACGAAGAGGGGAGGAGGGGAGAGAAACAGAGTGCAAAATAGAATGGAAAACATAAGTTTTTTTACAACGTTTCAAGCTCTGTTTTTATCCGTCGTGAATAATTTACAGACATCCAATTTTATTGTTTGAAGCTAAAGCGGCTCCCTAGCAAATGTTCTTATAACTTCTCTGAGAAATGTTTTTGAAACTTAGGATCCGTGTTTCTACATCAGCAAATATCCTTAAAATCCTTTATCAAGCGAATATTAATTCATTGTTTCAATGACAATGAAATTTCTTGGTGAAATAACTCATAAAAGAAGCTAATTTGAAGGTGAGCTGGCCTCGTAAATCAATGCGCAAGTTAATGTCTGCGTTGAGTCTTCATTTCCTAAAGTATACTACAAAAATACAACCTGCGTGTAACAAGATTTACTTCTAGATTATCTCTTCAAATAATTCCTCTTAGAAAATTTTGCATTCCGATGGTTAAAATACGATTGTAAGTTAGTGTAATAATCTCGATCGACAAATAACGTTTCAAGATGGATGTTTTGACAAAAACAGTGTGGAATTTTAACTGCTAATTTTTGCATGTACCTAAAGAAATGTAATCAGTGAAATGTTCAGTTAGAAACGTCCATCGTTCTCACGGCAAAAATACAATTTGGAGTAAAGTTAGATTGTAGTAAGGTTTCATCGTCTGGAAAACGACATTTTCACCAAATAATGCCTTTTAAATTTATCAACCAATCTGAGTGATGCAACCTAACCGACTTGCCAAACAACTCCAAGCCAGCCTATAGTTTCATTATGTCCCATTGACACAGACAAAATTTTAACGATCAGTCTACTGGATCTTTCACCCAATAGTCATAAAAAATAATTTTAAACCCATTTTCAAAAAAAAAAATAAAAAAAATAAAAAAATAAAATGTATGTCACTCTATTTTCCTAGGCCCCCTAGTCGTTTCAAAGCACATCTTACATTATCACGTCAAAGAAATGAAGTGCCTTTTAAACTTATCAACCAATCTGAGTGAAGCAACCTAACCGACTTGCCAAACAACTCCATTTCGGACTATAGTTTCAGTACGTCCCATTGACACAGACAACATTTTAACGATCAGTCTACCGGATATCTCACCTAGAAGTCGCGTAAAATAATTTTAAACCTACATTAAAAAAAAAAAAATCCATGTCACCCTATTTCCCTGGGCCCCCTAATCTTTTCAAAACACATCCTACGTTATCACGTCAAAGAAATGAAGTGCCATTAGCCCCGCGTCATGGGACCGATAAAAAGGGCGCCAAAACACACAGGGAGTAAAAGTAGCATGTGTGCGATAAGCTTTCACTCGAGGAGGGGAGGGGGAGGGGTTTAGTTGGTGACAGGCAGGTGACTCCGGTGACAGGAACATCACAACGAGTCTCTCCAAATCGAAGCTGAGTCTCGAGTGTTTGCTCAGTTTTGATTCTCGGTCCCCGTGTGTGGTGTTTGCTCTATCCCACTAAATCAGGGCTCCGAGTGTTTCGCAATCGTGTTTTGAGCATTTTTATGAGCTGCCGCGGGAAAGGTGGGAGGTCAAGGGTTTTAAACTTGATTCCTTTTGAGGCTTCTTGACTTTCACAACGGGAAAATAGAATAGGGTCTAATCAAGGGTGCTATTTGGACGTATTTCTGCTAAACGGAGCTATGTGCATTAAGAAATGAACCCTGAAACCCATAAGAATATTTGCATGACAAGGCTCACGTCATAATGCACATAGTTCCGTTTGGAAGAAATACGTCCATAAAAGGAGAGGCCAAAGGGGTCGGATGCTTTGTGAAACTGAACATACCTATCGATGGCTCAAGTGCGATTCCACATTTGTGTCCATTGCGGTGTTCCGAAATTTCCGCCCTTATTTTACTTTTTCGACGAGAAACAAGCCAACTCCGTAGCTTGAAATTTGGAATAATATGCCGACAGAGAAGAAAAATCAAGATCGTCTTCAAGAAATTACTTTCTTTGGCTTTCCGAGGAGAAATTAAAGTAAGGCGGGAAGTTTGCGATATTGCAAACGGAGATACGTGGTTTCACACTTTGGGAATCGATATCACTAAAATGATTTGTTGCAAAAATCTAAAACGCCTTCAATTTCA